TCACGGGCAAACTGATAATAACACATCTTCGATACATACAATTTTAGATAGACAAGCGGGTCACACACGCAATATGACAAGTCAAGAGAAAATGATTTTCTCTTGGATAAGTATATGGTGAGAACAACAAATTAATTTCTGGTGAGGTAATTAGCTTTGCCAAATATCTTTAAAGATAAAAAGGTGTTGATTTCAGAGAGAGGAACTTTTCAGCGGAGTGCTTTTTATTTGGGTTGGTACATTTCGCTGACCCCTAGCACATGGACTAGCAAGATGGACCTAGTACATGAACTACTTGAATGAACCACCAATGGACTACCCTAAATGTACACCCCTAAAATTTCTAACCCAAAAGTTTAAGAATCACTTTGTCTGCTCATGTTCCAATCTTCTAGGAACAATTTTTAAACATCATCGCTTCTGCATGCATTCCGTGCCATTTATTTAAATTCATCGAAGTGGAGTTAAAATACTCAAGGTTTGCGAATTCAGATGATGCGATCTTCACAACAGATCTTGCGAGCTTAAAATGTGATGCATCGTCATTTAATGATAATTGTTTTATTGTAAACATTGTTAACAGGATTGTCATTATTCTAGTCAAAATATTCAAAACAAGTGGTTTTTATACGACGAAATATTTAACATTACACTATCCTCTACCAAACTGTTAAAAACAAAATATAAAGAAATAAATATAATCAGAATCAACTAACACGTACTGTTGTCCTTGAAGTCTTCCCGTTGCATTAAAANTGCTGTTTGTAGGATCAGCGGAGTGCTTTTAATTTCAGCTTTTAAACGAAGATTTGGGGGTGGATTTTGGCTTATACAGTGACGGATAAATTTGCGCTCACGGGCAAACTAATAATACCATATCTTTGATACATACAATTTTAGATAGACAAGCGGGTCGCACACGCGATATGATAAGTCAAGAGAAAATGATTTTCTCTTGGACAAGTACATGGTTAAAACAACAAATTAATTTCCGGTGAGGTAATTAGCTTTGCCAAATATCTTTAAAGATAATAAGGTGTTGATTTCAGAGAGAGGAACTTTTCAGCGGAGTGCTTTTTATTTGGGTTGGTACATTTCGCTGACCCCTAGCACATGGACTAACAAGATGGACCTGGTACATGAACTACTTTACTTGAATGAACCACCAATGGACTACTCTAAATGTAAACCCCTAAAATTTCTAACCCAAAAGTTTAAGAATTAGTTTGTCTGCCCATGTTCCAATCCTCTAGGAACAATTTTTAAACGTCATCGCTTCTGCATGCATTGCGTGCCGTTTATTCTAGAAGCTTTGATGTCTGTAAAAGACCCGAACGCTGGGGATGATCACATAGTCATCCCTGAAGTCTACAAGTGCTTAGCACGCACTTAAAATTCTCTCGAGTCACGCGCATACAGCACGCGCAACGTTTCAATTTTGAAAAGTTTTTAAATCGCGCGTGTGTTTTCAACTGATGAAGGCTTAAGAGCTAGCCGAAACGTCTTGCTAAAATATACAAGTCAGTGACAAAAAACGGCACTTTTATCGATTATCTCACTTCCTTATATATTGCAATAAATACTTTATTCTAAGAAATAAATTTTATTAAAAAAATGGAACATATCGTTCCGACCTCTAAACAATTATCTTCGTTACAAGCCATTGGCGAACTTATGACTTCTTCAAAGCATTATTTTATATTTAATTGGCAAAATTTATTTCATCTTGCTTTGATCTACGCAATATCCTACTTTCAAATCAAACTAATTTAACTTGATTGCTATATCATAACATTATTATATGATTACGATAATCGATACTGTTCTAGTTTTAGTTTTAGTTTACAAAAGCTTTTGCATCACTGTACGTATTTATGGTCATGCAAATAAAGCTAGTTGTTGTTGTTAGTACCTATTTATACACGTGGGAGGAGAGAGGCGCTGTGAGAGTAAAGTGTGTTGTACAAGAACACAAAACAATGTCCCCGAGCAGTGCACGAACAAGCACCGCTCGATCCGGAGTCGAGCGCACTAACCATGAGGTTACCGCGTCTCCACGTCCACTTCATCTATGTTAATACTCTTCGTACGTTTTACAGTATCAAGAAGAGATTAAGGGCCTGTTTACAAGAGGGGAGGGTTACCCTAGCAAGCGGGTTAACCCTAGCTGGAGGGCAAAAGATTTCCCGGGTTTACAAGCAAAATTTCACAGATAGGGTAACCCTACAACCAGGGACAACTTAATGCGCGGTTACACTCGAAGGGTCTGGAAACAATTAGAAAGTAGGCGGGTAGGCGGGTTAACCCTACCTGGAGTGTTAACAAGGGAAAACGTTAACCCGCCTGCCAGGGCAACCCTAGCACGCAGATAGGGTAATCCGCCTACCCGGGTAGCCCTAGCTGCCTTGTAAACACGACGAAGAAAAACAGAGGAAATGTGTTAGTGCTAAGGTAACTCGCTTGCTACGGTAATCCTATCTCCTTGTAAACAGGCCCTAACTTTAACAAAATAATAACAGAGAAAAAGAAAAAACCTAATACTAGATAAAAATAGAAAGTCAAAAATTCTAAAATTTAGAATTGGAATTAAATAATAAGTAATCCACAAATAGAACTACCACCATGCCTGTTGCATGGACTTTCGGAGCTTTACGGTATAGCTAGAGTAATAAATGCTTAAGAGTGAATGCCTATAAAAATGGACCTAAATCGCCTATCAATGGCACAAGTCGAAAAATTGATTAAGTGTTCCTGGTTTAAGTACAGGTTCATTAAACTTGATTTGGTCACAGTAGGAAAATTTTGCTTTCATTTAATCATGTACTTGGTAGCGTAGTTGATTGCATCAATGTCAACCCAGCGTGCATGTGGCACTTAAACCATGCCTTGCGTGATGTGCAGAATGTGTGCGCACTAACAAAAGTAGGCACCGTCCTTAAATTGGATTACTGTAGCTAACAGACTCACTTCAATTCGACTCAATTAAATCTTTCTTGAGGAACATTGAAGCTACTCTTGTTGCAGTGTATGTTTGGATTGGCATCAAACAATAAGCCTTTGCAATGACACTACAAAATTCCTCTAAAATAATGACTGGGAAGAGGGAATTGTGTCACTTGAGACTTAATTGAAAGTTGTTAATGTTTCCCTTTCTCACAGTTGATTGGAGGCCTTACTGTAGGTGTTGGTCTCTATGCACGGTTTGAAAAGACAGCATATCAAGACTTCTTCAATGACATTGTTATGGACCCAGCCTTTGCGCTGATCATTGTCGGAGGGATCATGTTTATCCTTGGATTCACTGGTTGTATTGGTGCTTTGCGAGAAAATGTCTGCCTTCTAAAGTTTGTAAGTTTTAGTTTGCCATGTATACTAGTATTTTATTTATATAGATCTACAACTTAAAACTTGTGTTAGGTAATTTATATTTACCTGTTTTGTAGAGACCAAGGTTCACCAAGAAATAAATTCTTGCTTTTACAGTAAAATTTAATGAAAAGTAAATTTTACTGTAAGTCATACACCAAGGAAATTGTCAATTCTGAAGTAGCTTTCAAATACAGAGCAGTATATCATTGAGAGCCGGGATAAGTCGCTTGCTTGTATTACCGATGTCTTACCAGGCTTATTACTACATTAATTTAGACATGTCTTCTAAAGTAATCAAGTCTAGTAAACAGTAAACAGTAAACAGTATGAAGTAATCAAGTATATTAAACAGGCCAGGAATTTAGGAGTTGCATTCGATCAATGTTTGGATTTCAAAGAACACGTTAAAATAGCCTGCAAGAACACATTTTTCTGCATTCATAGTATAGCTAAAGTTAGGCAATACCTATCCCAGAGTACTCCTGAGACTATTGTTCACGCTTATATAACATCGCGTTTGGACTATTGTAACACCCTACTGNATTTTATATTCAGTTCAGGTCTTCGTGGTATGACTGAGCGAAAAATAGAATAAATCAAAGTTAGTTTTGATTCCGAAAAGAGATCAAACTGACTCGCAAAATTTTACAATGTGTCGCAAGAGTATTATTGCATAAAAACATCGCCACATTTTTCTATGGGCTATAACTTTAAATACCATAAAAACACTTTTTACGGATTAAATATACACGCACCTGTTAGGATATCAAAAGATATCTCTGGGCAAATGGTTTCAAGTCGCCCGCCTTGGCCTGTGTTTCTCATAGATTTTGCCCAAAATCCGCCGTTGGAAAGTACACAATTGCGTGACGCGGATAGCCACTCTCGAGTAAATATTCGTTTCCAGCAATCCGACGAAAGCAATTTTTGAAACGTTGTGTGGATAAAATAATGGAATTTTTTGTTTTTGTATTTGTTTAAGTTAGTATAAATATATACATTTTTTCATTTGCATTGCAACACCCACGACGTCCCCGATAAAGAACGTTACTACAATACTCTGGAAAATGATTTTAACACTTGTTTATTTTATTGATTTCACTGATAACTTACAATACAGTGGCAGTTTTAAAGATACACTTAACCAATCCTCTATGGCAATTGAATCATTGACTGACAGATGAAGTCAAGTGGAAATACCATAAATTCTATAAACTCCTAACTGCGTGACGGCATCTCAGCTCTTCTAGCTCTCTAGAAAATTTGTACCTACACAATAAGCTCAAACTCAGCTAGTAAACCCGGAATTTCTTGAATTGAATTAGCCGAGGAAGAAATTGCGTTTAAGTTTCAATCATGCTGGGAAAAAATCCATCTTTTCTACTTTGCTTGTTTGATCAATTGACTGAAATGTGCAGATCATAACACTGGTGGACAAATAAACATTACAGTGGTCGATCTAGGACTAGGTTTACACTAAAGGAGGTCTTTGGATTCGTAAAAGTTCCCGGATTCATCAATTT